CCTGAGCTCAGCAGCGGGATGAACGGCTGCCCCTTGGGTGCTGCAGCCAGTTTGCATTTCCTGCCAAAAGACATGGGGGTTGCAGACAAAATTGGTGCCAGGCAGGGGGACCCTTATGTGTGGTGTGAGTCCCTCTGATCTGTCTGTCTGTGGCATTCCCGAGTGCCATCACCTTGGGATCCCAGGGTCCAGTTCGGCACTTCAGCCTCTCAAGGGACTTAGGCACATGCTAAGTGCTTTGCTGCTCCGGGGCCCCAGCGCTGCTCCGGGGCATAGAGCTACTGCCGTCAGCAGAGAGCAGAGCGCTGCCAGGCAGCAATCACAGGCACGGGGAGTTCACACTGGCATTCTTCTCTCACCAGCGTTACACCCCTGCTGACTCTGGGGACTTACGTCGGTGCAAAGGGAGAGGCAAATCAGGCTCTGTGTGTGTGGGACCTGGGTCCTTATTACTTACAGCCGTCCCAAGCAAGGCTCAGGGCCCCGTTGTGCTAGGCGCTATTAAACGCTAGACACGTGTAATAAACGAGCTAGTCCCTGCCCCAGCGAGCTTGCAGGTTTAGCATACGACACGAGATGAGAGCTAAAGAGAACACACAGAAAATGGCAGGAGTGAAACAATGAGATTTAATAAAACCCTTGTTCTGCCTTTAATCCAGAGCTAACCTGGGCGTGCCAGAGTCACCAAGGAGCTCGGTGCAGGGGAATGTGGGGTGCTGAGCACGTGGGAGTCTGGCCCCTGGTTTCCAGGTGACTACATATTTCTCTATGGTCACACTTTGTCATATGGTTCCTTTAAAACAGAGTTGAAAGGGTAATACATGATCCAGAGCTGTCATAAGCCCATTGCAGAACACGAGTTGCATGGGGTAGAGGTGTAACCCGCTTGTTAATGTGCGACCTGGTACATGGGGTCACATCACCACTCAAATTTGGGCAGCCAGGCAGGTAACCTGGGTCCCCTCCTTAGCAAAATTCTGGTTGCGTCCAGGAGGCTGCAATAAGCCCTAACACCCGCTCCGGGGCAGGGGGGAGGGGAAAGGATCTGCTTCTGCTGCACCCCTGCCCTGCCCCAACCAGCCCTACCCAGGGAGCCCCTGGGGGCTCAGCTCTGCATCCTCCGGGCTCTTACTCCAGCGCTCCACTGGCACCCCAGGGCACAGCAATATTCGCCTCTAATTTCTTATTTCACAGAGTTCTTACACAACCGTCCCAGGCTCGTTGGCGGCCATGGGGCTGTAAGTGGCCCCCACGCAGTACACGTGGCTCTGTGAATCCATCAGGCAGAAGCCAACTACCCAGAGCAGGCGATGTGCCCGAGGGTGGGGAGGGAAGGGCAGCAGGAGCCTTGCCCGCCGCAGAGACCCACCAGGGCATTGGCGCTGGTGGCCTGAAGCCGTGGGAGGCTGGGCCCCAAGGGGACCCACCAGCTGGCGTGTTCTGGTGTCCCACTAGCGCCCTGCTGCTAGTTCCCAAGTTAAACGCTGCAGTGGAGACAAAGCCCAAAGCACCAGCCCCCAAATCCCCGTCCAGGTGTCAAAGCTCCCACCTGTCTCCTCCCCAACTGCCAGCAGCTTCCCCCCTCGGCTGTGCGTGTTCACTACGCGGTGCACAGGGAGCACAAGGCTCCGAGGGCAGCCTGCAGGGAACGGGGTGTGCAGTGGGGTTGACGGAAGGGGAGGCTGTGCCGAGCTTCAGTCATTCTCCTCTGGGATTCAGCAACACGCTCCATTTTGTCACTCACTGATCTGAAGCTGCTGCAGAGTCCTGGAGCACCATAGGGGAGGAGGGGGGCAGGGTGGGGAGTTCCACAGGAGTTAGGCCAGGCACGTGGGGCAAGGGGCCTGTGGGGAAGGAAGTAACCCGCTGAGCCCTGATTCTCTCCTGCCCCTCTGTGTAAACAGCACCGGGAGCGTCAGGAACCCGTGCTGCTGTGGGCTTTCAGTCTGCTCCAGCCAGCCCTGCTCCCGGCACGGTGCTTCCTGTCCACTGGAGGGTGGCTGGCCCTGTGGCTAAGGCCCCGCAGTGCCAGATACCCAGGTCGTCACTGCCCTGCCCAGGTGTGGTCCCCAAGGCCAGGGAAAACCGTCCCCGTTCTGGGTCAGGCGTGTTCTGCTCTAGTGGGAATGACGGCGCATGGGCAATGCAGAACCTGCCCCATTGTCTCTGATCCCCACCTGTAACACGGGGAGAACAACACCCCCTCTCTCCCACCCTGCGGCTGCCTTGTCTGATCAGACGGGGAGCTCCTTGGGGCAGGTCCTGTTTCTTGCTCTGTCTGGGCACACCCGGGGTCTCAGGTGAGCTCTCTCTGGTGTTCAGTGATCACTCGGGGGGATTCACAAACCCCCAGTCAGCTACCCCAAACCCTGGAGGCACCTAGTTTTCTGCCATTAAAGTCTCCAAGTACTTTGGTTCCGGTGAGTGGTCATGCGCTCAGCCCCTATGTCCCGACACGGCCACGCAGCCCTGACTGACGCTCAGGCCCCCGGGGCCTTCCCTGCCCGGCTGCCTTGACTTTGTGACCTGAGGCAATAGGTGTGTTCAGAGTATGTCTAAACCCATCCCAAATAGCCAGAGGAGGCAGTGCCCCCCCCCCCTTATGACCCTTAACCCAGTGGTTAGGGCATTTGCCTCAGATACAGAAGACCTGGGTTCAATCCCCCCTCGGGCTGATGTGAAGACGGGCTTTGAACTTGTCTCCCATCTTGCAGGCATGTGCCCACACCACTGGACTTCTGGGTACCCTGGGGCAGGTCCCTGTTAGGGGGCTTATTCCTTCACCCACTTACTTCCCTGGTCCTTCTCACATGAACAGAGAGCAACAATACCCAAAGTCCAAAGGTGCAAACAATTCGATGTTTATTGGGGTGAACTTCCAGCAAGCATGATTCCAGTTTCCTTCCTTAGTGTCCCCCTTCCCAGCTCTGACACCACAGAGCCTTACACCTGTGTCCCTGTTCCCATTCCTGCCCTTAGCCAAACATGATTCCAATTTCCCCAGCCCCATTCCCTGTTCCCATTTCCCCCTTTAGCAAAACATGATTCAATTTCCCCATTCCCTGTTCCCATTTCCCTCACACACACCCATCCACTCACTTCCTGATTGACTGCAGACTATATAGTAAAACTTGAGTTCTGCTTAGCTATACCGTAACCAATCATTTTCCTGAAATTTAACTAACCAATCCTAACATATTGTAACATGATTATGTAACCAATTATATCCCAACACCTTAATTAGTTTACACCCAGCAAAATTAATTATACAGCAGACAGAAACAATCACAGAACCAGACAGAGATTATACAGACCAACAATAGCAAAGTGGGAACTATAATGACAAAACAACACAGAAGTGAGGATTTCACATCCCAGCTATTGATAAGTGAGTTCTTGCCAGACAGGATGCTCTCAAACTAAGTTTCCTTTTACATTTTCTAGGTACTTCCCTTTCTCTGGAGGCGATAGGCATTATCAGGACAGGATTGTATCCTAACAGCCCAATAGCACCTTCTTTCAATGTGACTAGGTTGGAATGTGAGGATGTGACCGGTCGCTTCCCAGCTTATGGCTGCCTCTGTTGCTTAGCCAAAGGCCTGAGCCTAAGCACAGGGCCTCAGACTGTCACAGAAGAGAAGGCCCTTACACCGGCAGACAGTGATTTTGATTCTTTCTTTTAGACCTCTACAACTAGCCAAGTGATAAGAATAGACCTAAATTCTTAGAGTACAGGCCTTTACCAACAGGCCTGAATATCTATATCCTAACAGTCCCCCTAGACTTCTGGTACGCTGGGGCTGCCCCCTCGCCCAAGCTGTTCCTCCAGGTATCAATAATTAAATATTCCTGCGAGCAAAGGGATGGGACCTTGGGTCTCCAGCCTCCTAGGTGAGGGCCTAACCGCTGGGCTAGTGTCACTTCAGTTAGCTCTCTGGCCCAATGACTAATTATTCATACCCCGTGGGACAGCCCTAGCAGGGGAGAGCCCTGTCCCACAATCCCCCAGAGCCCACGGGGCAGGACGCTCGCTCGGGGGCGGGGGAAGACACAAGTGCCAATCTCTTCTCCACAGCAGGTAGAGGAGGGAATATTGACCTGGTTGCTTGGAAAGGGGCTGAGGTGCAGGTGCCCAATGCAGGAGAAGGTTCATGGCTGGGAATCGCAAGTGGAGACTGGTGCCTCCCTTGGACCCAGGCTGAGGGGGAGGGGGCAGGGTCTAACCATTTCCCATGGGCCAGGCTTCTGCTACTCCCATTCCAAGGTGCCCGTCTCTCCCTAGGCATTGCACAGGGGGCTGTGGATCCCACTAGGTGCCCAAGTCCCACATATGAATCCCACCCTCCGTGCTGCAGGAGCTCTAGTCTGTGAACAGTCCCAGCTGAGTGCACAGAACAACATGCACTTCTGCAGCCCCTGCCCAGGAACCTCAGCCCTTAAAGTCACAGTCTCCCGGCCACAGCCAGGCAGCCTCCAGGACCAGCCATGATACACACAGTAGTGATAATCTCAGGCACAATGTGCCCCCAGGAAAGTCACACTTGCTGGGCCTGTGGACAGCTGCTGTGATTTCAATCTGTCACTTAGGAGGTGGCTCCTTGGACCAGGCCTGGAGAGAGGAAAGGTTCGTATTCCATTACTCATGTCCAGGCCAGCCTGCTGGCCAGGGGAATACGCACCTCTCCTGCAGCCCTGCCCAGCAGGGGAGGTCTGTGGGAATTAGAGACACTGAGGCCCCAGCTCTGGCGGGTGCATAGCAGAGCTTTGTTGTGTAGAGGGGGAAGCTGAGGCTCAGGGATGGGGTGTGACTCTCCCAAGGTCACACAGTTAATCAGTGACACAGCTGGATAGCAGCACTCAGCTGCCCTGATTTCCAGGCCTGGGCTTTATCCGCTAGCCCCTGCTCCCTCCCCTGGGTGTGGCTGCTGGGATGCCAGCTGCATAAAGGGGAGGGAGGCTGCTTAGCCAGGTTGCTGGGGGCTAATTAAGCCATTGTTCGCGTGGGGCTTGGTAGGGGCACAGCAGAGGCAGGCGCTGTTTTCCCTGCCTGGAGCCAGCGGCCTCCCCAGCACGCAGACTCAGCAGCAGGTCGGTGGCATTTGACAGCAGGGAGGGGCGAGAACGCGTTGGGCCCCCCATTCGGGGTCTCGTAGTGCGGGGGGGGAGCCTCACTGGCCCCTTAAAGGGGGTGAGGCACAGAGAGCTCCTGGCACCCCCCAGGCTCACAGAGCAAGTCAGCGGCACAGCTGAGAGGAACCTCAGCCCTGCCCTGCGCCTGCCTATTGCTTTAGCTGCTAGGCCCTGTTGTCTCCTTGCTGCCTTTCCGTTGGGGAGCAAGCCGCGTTCCCCAAGCGTGCCGGGGCTGGACGGGGCTGGGTGCCTTCTCTCTGCTCTGGGGCCTGGGCTCTGGGTGAGGCACCTGCTCCAGCGGCGAGAAGGAATCCCAGCCCAAGTTCTCAGCGGGCACCTCAGCCGGCGAGGAGCCTTATCAGGAGCTGCTCCCATTCCTGGGCGCTGCCCTTTGTTGTGGGTACAAAGAGCCCTGCTCTTCTTGCACCCCGCTGCCAGGGTGAGCATGGGCCTGAGGGGTGGCAGGCAGAGCTAATGCTGCCCGCAGGACCTGTGTGGACCAGGCACCCCGGGGCCTGCTGCTCTGGGCACGCCTGGGTGAGCTGTAATTGAGCGAGTAGAGGTAACAATAGCGGTGAAGGGGGGTGGCACAGACCCCCGCTTAGGTGAGCCAACAGAGTACGTACCCAGGCTACCTGGCAGGCTTGGACTGGGGTGGATAGCCTGTGCTCCCCCATCGTCACCATGCTCCTTACCGCACTATGTAGATTAAAGCTAGCGTCAGTGCGCCCACCCACACTCCAGTCGCACGACCATACCCTCTGTTCCCTGCCCTCTCCCTGACCAGTGCAAAGTGTCCCCATGCTGCTCTGACTGGTTGCACAGGGCAGGGGTCAGCGGAGGTTCGGGCCCCTTGTCTTTGAATCCGCTAGTCCAAGACTCGCTCCTCACCCGGTTCTGACAGCCACTGAGGAGAGCCAGCTGCTCCCTAATACAGAAGCCAAAGGAGAGCCCTTCCTTCTCAGCGCTCAGACGAACTGCTGGGCACCCAGTCTGCTTCTGGATCAGATGCCCCGGATAACAAAGGGCCTGCTCACTCCCTTGACCGCCTGGGAGGTTTGTGCTCTATCCTGGAGTTCAATCCTGCAAGCCAGTGGGAGGGCTGCCCAAAGAGGGTCAGGCCCCCGTTTGCTCCCTCTTGCACAGAGTGCTTCATCCACAGATCCCAAAGTGCTTTACAGGGGGGAGGTCAGTATCCTTGCCGCAGTGGTCCCCAAACTGTGGGGTGCACCTTCCTAGGGAGGTGGGGGGCACAGTAGGGTTGCCAGGTGTCTGGTTTTCGAGCTGGTCGAAAAGGGACCCTGGTGGCTCCAGACAGCACAGCTTAGAAGTCCAGTTGGTGTGGTGCAGGCGGGCTCCCTGCCCTGCTCCACGTGGCTCCTGGGAAGCGGACAGCATGTCCCTCCAGCTCGGGGACAGCCCCAAGGGCTCTGCATGCTGCCCCCGCCCTGCGTGCTGGCTCCACAGTGCCCATTGGCCAGGAACCGCAGCCAATGGGAGCTGCGGGGGCAGGGGCAGCGCACGGAGCCTCCGCCTAGGAGCCAGAGGGAGGTCAGCACTGCCCAGAGCCCGCACCTCCCACGCTCCAGCCCCCTCCCACACCCAAAGTCCCTCCTGGAGCCTGCACCTCCTGCCCTATTCCTGAGCCCCTCCAGCACCCCAAACCCCTCATCCCTGGCCCCACCCCGGAGCCCACACCCCAGCCCAGAGTCCCTACCCCCTCCTGCACCCCAACTCCCTGTTCCAGCCTGGAGCCCCCTTGCACACTCTGAACCTCTTGGCCCCACCCCCTATCCCGGAGTCCCTTCCTGCACCCCAAACCCATCATCCCCAGCCAGCTTTTGGAGAAGCTCCCCACTCTCCCTGGGTGCAGGGACCTTGCTGTAGCGGAGGGAGCTTGAGTGGGGCTAACAGACACCACCGTGGCTTGCTCCAGGTGATCGCCTGAGACTGCTGCCCCCACGTGGGGGGAGGGCGGGGCGGGGCGGGTGCAACTACATTGGGAGAACCCCACCCGTTACTGCCTCCTGGGTGAGAGAGGAGACAGGTGAGCTGCGTTCTGATTTCCCCAGTACCAGCAGCTACTCTGCTCTGCTCTGGCATGTGTGGGGCAGGGCCCCATGGAGTGCGGGGGGATCAGAGCTGGGAGTTTGGAGCCAGATTGGACAGGTCCAGCAGCTGGTGGTGGTTGGATCCAGACAGAATGGCCACAGCGTGGGATCTGCACTGTGGAGTCCCTGCTGGGCGTGACCAGCCGCTCTCCTGCAAAGTGCCCTGCTCCCCCATGCACCCCGAGCCAAGGCAGCCCGGCTCTCGTCCCCTCCGGTGGGGAGAAACAAAGAGGGTCATGAGCCCGCAGAGCTCCCTTCGATCAAGCAGCACAGAGGGTCACGGTCCTGGGCTTAGTCCCCATCGACGACCCAGCCGGGGTACTGCTGGGGGGGGGTTGGTGCTTAGGCCTCAGGGGCACAATTGAGGTATTTCCTTTAACAAGGACGACTGGGCTGCCATGGTAACCCCCATCGCTGGTATCTCACCTCGGCCTCTTCCTACCAAACTCTTGGCTCTAGTGGGACAGTGCAGTGTCCAGAGCACGGCACGTGGGGCCTTTACGCCGGCTGCTCGCTGTGCATGTTGTTCAGTGTGTTATGGGCCGGAGTCTATCCCCCAGAGCAGCAGCAATGAAGGGCTGCCTCCGTGCTGAGGGGAGGGTGGACTGGGATGGAGCGGGGCCCTGATGGGAAATCTGCGAGGAGCCGCTCCCTGCCTTGCACCCTGGCCTGGGGGTGGATCTCGCAAGCTTCCGAGGCTCCGGGTGCTTGACAGGACTGCACCCCACTCTCTGGCCCCGTGGGGGCGTGTGAACCAGTTCACTCACCGCTTGGCAGCCCGGCATTGGCCGATTTGGCATAACAGCTCTCGCGGCTCGTCTAGCGCCCCCTGCCGACGGGCTCCGGCACTGTGGCAGTATCTCTCCCAGTAACTTGGCTCTTGGGCTGGGCGTCACCCTCTTAAGTCCACCCACTCCTGGGTCACGGCTCTATAAACTAGAAGTTCCTAAATGCCTTGAACACAAAGAAAATCCTTCCATGTTCTCTGGGCCCCTCCCTCAGCCTGCAGCACCCCCACTGGGCCCAATAATCTCTGCACTGGACTTGTACCCCCACTTCCCTGGAGCCAGCAAGGGAACCCAGCCCCACCTTCTGCGCTGGGTTCTGGGCCAGAGCCCAGTCTGCTCCTTGGCCTGGGTTGTACTTTGTCCTGGGCCATTTCCAACCTTGAGGCTTCTTGGGCTGCCTCCCTACAGCCTAAGCTCCCACCTTCCCCTCGCGGTCTCTCTCTCTCTTCCCTGCTTAGTCGGGCTCTCTCCCAGCCTCCCTGCTTGGAGGGATTTCCACACTAACCCTGCTTGGGGCTTTTTCCAGCCAGACTTTGTCACCACTTAAGCCTGGCCCTCCCAATTTACTGCAGCCACCTTCTGCCCTTTATGGGGCAGTGCCTGATTCCCCCTGGGTGGGGCTCAGCCCCAGGCTCTCTGCCCTCAGGGCAAGCCAGGCTCTTACAGGGCTCTTGACTGTCCAGGAGGCCCCCCTGGGATGCGAGTCAGCAGCCAATGGATCTCAGCAGATGAACCAGCTCTCGAGCTGAGAGGAGCCCAGTTGCTGTCCATGCCCGTTCTGCCAGGAAGGGGGCCCACTGCCAGTTGCATCAGTGCCAGTGGCTGATGTGGATGCCCTGGCACTGAGCGCCTCCCCCCCCCCCTTGTTCTTCTTTGTTTCTGACTGATCACCAGTGACTCCAGCTCCCTGCTGGACACCACAGAGACAGGCAGCATCGGGACACGCATGCAGCCAGCTCTGGCTGCCAAATGCTGTTTGGACAGGACGGGGAGCGAGCACCATCACCTCGGCCTTGCTGTCGTGGGCAGGTGCCAGGCTTATGGCGGCTCTTCCTGAGCTCCACTTGTCCTCGGCTGGCCTGGAGAAGAGACCTTCTCATTGATTGTGAGGCTGCTGCATTGGTCTGGGGAGTGGATTAATGTTGGCCTCTAGAAAGGGGATGGCCCTTGCTGGCTTCTCTCTGGTGCAGGGAGGCCTGGAAGGAGTCTAGCTTTTGCTAGAGGTTTTGCTATTCTGCTGCTTCTTTTCTTTTTAAATGCCTGAGCAATATGGCGCTGGCAGAGGACTCTTTGGAGGCTCTGAGGTGGGGCCTGGAAGTTCCCTTCGTCCTTAGTTGGAAGGGCCGGTGATTCTGAACAAGGAGTGTTTGTCATGCAGTGTCTCTGTTCAGTCCAGGGTTTTCAGTGTCTAGCAGTGAGTGTTGTGCAGGTTTCCTCTGAGGATGAGTGATCGCTTTGTGAAAAGTGCCCACCCACAGGTGACAGGGTGTTTTCGTTTTTTATTGTTTTCCTGTGTGAGTTCATTCCAGAGCTTCGTGCTTGTCTGGTTTCACCCACGCAGTTGTCATTGGGGCATTTAGTGCGCTGGATGAGGTACGTCACATGTGTGATAGGCATGTGTAGGACCCGTGGATTATGAAAGGGGTGTGTGGGGAGGGGAGGGGGCTGATCATTGTAGCTGTGGAGATATGGCTGCAGGTTTGGCCTCCCTTGTTCTGGCCGGGTCTGGCGGTGCTTGAGTTGGTGTGTCCTGGTCTGTGGGGAGTTTGCTTCTGATGATGAGCTCAAAGAGGTTGGGGAGAAATAGGTGTTCTTAAAATTGCTTCTTATCTCAAAACAGGTGTCACATCTTTGGTATCTGAAATGTCATGGTCCTGCCAGTTCTCCAGTTGCCCATAGGATCTTCCGGGGCAGACAAGACCTGAATTTCATAGAATCATAGAATATCAGGGTTGGAAGGGACCCCAGAAGGTCATCTAGTCCAACCCCCTGCTCGAAGCAGGACCAAATCCCAGTTAAATCATCCCAGCCAGGGCTTTGTCAAGCCTGACCTTAAAAACCTCTAAGGAAGGAGATTCTACCACCTCCCTAGGTAACGCATTCCAGTGTTTCACCACCCTCTTAATGAAAAAGTTTTTCCTAATATCCAATCTAAACCTCCCCCACTGCAACTTGAATTTCTAATGGGCGAGGGGAAGAGAGAGTTTAAACGAATTTCCCAGCCGTCTTTGTACCTTGTAAAGGAGCAGAGACGGGCGCAGGGCCCTGCTGGTGCCATGCAGCGAGCGGAGCAAGTGCTAACCAAATGGCAGGCTGCTCGCACAGTCGGGGGCACTGTGCTCCTGCGGCTGGCTGTCCTGTTCTGCCTGGACAGGCAGGGAGTGGCTCCTTGCAGATTTCCCATAAGGGTCCCACTCACACACCTTACCCTGGAAAGGGCCGAGGCTGGGTTCCAGGTGACACCCTGGTTACAGCAGGTAGCCCCACAGGGCACTCTGGGCAACTGGACCCAGCTGGCAGGGGCCCTGGAGCCTGAAGTGCCTGCCTAGGGGCCGAGGGAGGTGGTCAGGCTGTTCTCAGGGAGTTCTGCTCCCCAGAAAGCTGATTCTCTGCAGCCCGGCACTTGGTGCCATCACTCCCCTGTGCAGTGTGGGTGTGAGGCGCTGCCGGATCAGAGTGGGTCACTTTGCAGGGGATGGCTCAAGGTGCTGGGTGGCAGGGAGCCGGGCTGTGTGTGTCCCTCTCGCAGGGGTCCCCTCTCAGAAGGGACAGTGGTATGACAGCCAGTCCCCCTAGTGTATGTATTTCACGTCATGGCTTCTTGCCACCTGCCAGGCTGCAGAGGGTGGACGAGAGAGCCCCACGTACCTGGGACCCTGGCCTCCTGGGTGGGGATGAGTGGGAGGTACCAGAGCCTGGATCCCTCCATGTTCTGCTTGGGCTCAGTCTTCCTGTCCCATTCCAATAACATCCTCCTTCCTTCCCCTGTGGGTTTCAGGCAGTCCAAGCCACCAGCCGGGAAGCCCTCTGCATCCCCACTTATGCTCAAATAAATTGGTTAGTCTCTAAGGTGCCACAAGTACTCCTTTTCTTTTTACTGTCTGTCCAGTTGCTCAGCCTGCCCTGGGCCAGCCCGTGTTACGACAGGGAGCGCGGTCCAGAGTACCTGGTGGAAGCCCAGTGGGTCAGGACGTGGGAGTGGCACACGCTGAGCAGGACTTGCCCCCTAGCAGGGGCAGAGCTGTCTGGAGTCCCGAGGGGAGAACCAGTGCCAGGTCTGAGCCGCCAGCACCTACGGGCTCAGCGCCCCCAGCCAGGAGTGGTTAGGATGTCCCAAGGAGAAGGTAAGGTGCTGAATGAGCGGGCTGATACCTTTCAGTCCCTCCCACCCTGTCCCTGCCACTGCCTGGGGCAGCCACCACGACTGCCATTGGGGAAATGAACTTACAAACCCTTCAAGCAGCTATGACGCCTTTGACAAGGGGAGGTCGTTAGCTATTTGCCCAATGGGCAGGCCAAGCCAGACCCAGATCGGGGGGGCTCTGCCCAGCCAGGGGCACCTGAGCCCAGCGTTTAGAGTTTATTTTGCAAAGTGTAACAGAAGTGGAACTAAATCAACTCTGGTTTGAACGTAACAAATCTGTGGGTGATGGGAATGGCAGAGCTGTCGCGATGGAGCATGCCATGGCCATGCTGAGCCAGTGGGAACCAAACATCTCGGGCCCTACTGAACTAACAGAGAATTGCCCCAAATTGTGGGGGGTGCAGGGCCTGTGACTACCAGTGAGCAGTGCTGGCTCCCTGCCCTCCCTCTCCCATGGCGCCGATAAGGTTTCTTGTCTCCCTGCCCCCAACTCCTCCTGTCCCTGGATCTCCCCTGTCTCCATGGTCACCCTCATCCTCTCACTCCACTCCAGCTCCGTCCCACCCTGTTTCTCACATTGCCGCAGTGCCTAGGGACCCGGTTTGTGCTAGGAGCTGTACGGACCGCACAGACATGGTCCCAGCCTCCATGTGCTCGTGACCCAGGATTTAGACCCTGCCCAACACAAACCCAACCTAGTCTCTGGGTTCATTTGGATGGAATAATTGGTCCCAGAGAGTCAAAGGTGTTAACATGACCACGTCCACTGCACAACACCAAATAGTTAAACATGGGTTGGGCTTTGGTTTGAGTACAGAGACCTTGGCCTGCTTAGTCCCATGGCAAACACACCAAACGCTTCCTGCCCAGGTCTAGATGTGGTAGGTTGGGGGGAGGGGGAGAGAGAGAGGAACAAAACCTAAAGCATTTGAGGTTGAAATCGAATGGTTCTGCAAAACCAATTTAATCCAAACTCCACCAAGTTCCTCTGTCCCAGATCCAGAAGGATCTGAGCTCCTCCCCAGCTTTAAACCGTCCTTTGGAGGAGCCCCTTCAGTGTGCCGGTCACCCAAGGGGTCTCGCTCTTCCCTAAGGCCACACCTACAAGGCTGAGCCTCTGCCCAGCGAGTGAGACAGCCTCCTGGTTACAGATGTTTACACTCTTCAGGGACCAAAGCCCCTCAGCAAGTATTTGCAGTGAGGCCTGGCAGCCTTTTCAGAACAGAGCAGGGTTTGTCAGTCAGCTGGACGCAGCATTGGGAAGTCCTGGGGTCAGCACAGAGCAGCAAAGGATAAGATGAGTCCGGGTGCTGCACGCAGCCAAGCTGCCTGGGAACCCCTCTGGGTCTCTCTGTGTCAGTCCCAGCTGAGACCTCCCACGTTTCTTCCAAGAGCCCACCTGTATTAGAATCCTAGAATATCAGGGTTGGAAGGGACCTCAGGAGGTATCTAGTCCAACCCCCTGCTCAAAGCAGGACCAATCCCCAATTTTGCCCCAGATCCCAAATGGCCCCCTCAAGGATTGAACTCGCAGCCCTGGGTTTAGCAGGCCAATGCTCAAACCACTGAGCTATCTCTCCCCCCCAGGGATTCCAGCCACCCAACACCTTTCGGTCCATTGTCCAGCTCCTGCACGCCCTTGTTGAGTTCCCGTGCTCCACCTGCCGGAGATTCCCCGGGATAAGTGTCAATTTCTCAGTTGTGGGGCTTCCATGATCTTTGTGGACCCTCCACTGATATGGGTCCATTTCAGCCAGGCCATTAACGACCCATTCATCCCACCCAGGCAGTCACCTGACACCCCGCCCCCATGTTGCCTGCTGTGCCAAGGGCAGCTTTTTACCCTTTCACCGCCACTGGGTAGCAAAGTACAGAGGGAAACTGAGGCACACCTAGGAATCATAAAAATATAACAGAACATTTCCACTTCGTCACCCCCTGCTCCAGAAAGAGGATATTGGACAGAGCCTCTTATGCTTCCAGACAGCCCTGGGAAGGAAAGGCCTAGTTCTGCTACTGAATTGCGAGTGGATCTCTGTGATTGGTGGTTACTTTGTCTTGTCAAAAGCAGGAAGGCAAAGGGGGAGAGGAGAAAAGTTGGGAGAAATACAGAAGTTTTCGGAGTCCAAAGCAGCAGGTCAGTCTGAGACAGATGCTCTGGGCTAGCATGGCAGCTGTTGCTCTGGACCATGGCTCCCTTCCCCAGTCTGAGACAATATCTGCAGGTCCCTTTTCCTGCATTAGTCCTGCTCAAGCAGGACAAAGCTGGATGGGCCGTCTCCTCCCATCCTGCTGGTGCTGCCAGGCGTGGCTGGTCTCGGGACCAGGAGAAAAGCTGAGAGAGAGCGAGGATAAGAGAGGATAGCGGAGGACAGAAAGAGAGACACACAGGAGTCTTCTGTCTGCCCTTCCCTCGTATCAGGCTGGGATCCTTGCTAATGTGTCACTCAGCTGCTTGTCACCACTCAGCCCTGTCTCTCTCCCTGCAGGTGGGAGGAGCAAGGAGGCTTTTGAATACCACACCGTTACAGTAAACACCATGGAGAAGGCTTCGGACCTCTACACCCAGCTCGAGAAACTTGGGGCGTAAGTCGATGGTGGGGTTCATCTGCAACAACCAGACTCTGCAGTGCCGGGACAGTCTTGTCCCCAGAGATGCCCTGTGGCTCTGGCTTGCGCAGCAGAAATGTCTCGGGGAGGGCAGGGAAGGGGGCCCTCCCTGTTCTGGTTCTGTGTGTGTTTATGGCAGAGTGTAATGGAGAGGCTGCAGGGCTGGGCAACAGGAGACCTGGGTTCTCTTCCAGGTCCTGTCCTTGACCTGCTGGGTGACCTCAGGCAAATCGCTTCCCTTCTCTGCCTCGCTGTTTTCCCTTCCACCCCTTGGCCATTCACATTACAAACTCTCTGGGCAGAGGCAGTCCTCACTGTGTCTGCGGCATGCAGCACAACCAGACCTCTGAGTATTAATGCAGCTAATCTGTAAAGCCATGCAGGTGCTCAGAGGCCACGGTGATGGGCCGAGCTGGCTGGGGGACAGGAAGCTGTCAATGTAAATGACCAGGGTTTTCTAGCTGTATGAACGGATGGGATAGCTGAAGCTCCTGGCCTCGGGCCCCGTTTTCCTGTATCTCCTTGCTTTGTCGTGATTGGCCACTGGGCCGTCCTTAGGCATATGCAGCATACAACCGGGACCACAGCTGGGCACAGGACTGGAGCTGGGCTGGAGGCAGAGCTGGGTGACACTTCCTCCCTGCCCCCCATTGGGGCTGGCCCGGGCCCTGCTGCACCCCCTGAATATTACTCCACTCGCCCCTTGGGGGGGCATCCCACAGTTTGGGGACCACTGCCATAGCACCTAGGAGATCCAGTCTGGCCCAGGCCCCTGGCGTGCCAGGCGCTGTACAGACACTGAACGAAAAGACAGTCCTTGCCCCAAAGAGCTGACGGTCGACGTTCATTGTCGCTGTCTGCCAGCTTTACTAGCTATGGTCTGTTCTGTCCAGTTCTCTCTGGGGATCCCCAGCTGTCTAGTTCAAATCTGGGTGCTGCTGGGATACACCTAGGAGCTGGCCTGGAGCTCCCCATTCCCACTGCAAGCTGCTGCCCCAGCAGGCCAGGCACGGAAGTGCAAGCTGCCTTGCTGGGCGGGAAGCAGGAGACAGTCCCTCCTTCTCGTCTCTCACAGTGGGAAGTTCGGGATGGTTTACAAGCTGCAGGAGAAGGCCACTGGGAAGATCCGGGCAGGGAAATACTTCCGGACGCGGACGCCCAAGGAGCGGGAGGCAGCCTGCGGGGAGGTGGAGCTGATGAACCTGCTGCATCACCCCAGGCTGGTGCAGTGCCTTGCGGCCTTCCAGAGCCGGGCGGAGCTGGTGATGGTGATGGAATAGTGAGTGGGGCGTGCTGGGCAGGTACAGGGCGGTGGGAGCGGGGGTCTCGCTCGCTGCCAGGGACACGGCGTGGGGGTGGGGGGCGAAGGGGACTGCTCTGTGCACAGGTGTTCAGGCTGCACCTCGAAGGGGATAGCAGACAGCCCACCTCCGCAGGCTCCGTCCCTGCTGCCCTGGGCTCCATGTGTTCTGGTGCGTTTGCCCGTGGGGGCTTGCAGACGGTCAATCGAAGTTGAATGGGAGGCTGAGCCCTGAAGTGGGCAGCGTCTGCTGAGCCCCCCACCCCGCTTTCTGGTATTAGGAGTTCAGGCGGCTGCAGCATGGGTGGTGCGAATCTAGCCTCTACAGAACCCCTGCCCTGGCCTCTTCCCACCGGAGACTTTACCGTCAAGAAGGGACTGCAAACTATGGGATTTCCAGATGGGCCAGTGCCCAGGGCTCCAGCCTCCATCCCCTACCGGGAAGAGAGGGTTCAGGGTGGGGGAGGGCTGTTTGCACAGGTTTCCAGATTTGACTTGGTTGGGTGTCTTTGCTCCCCGCTCCTTGTGTCCAAGCGGCTTCTCCGTGTACTTGTTAGTTGAGTTTAGTGCCTGAGCCAAGTCCCTGGGCAGTGGGGTCTGGGCTGGCACTGCCTTGGGCACAAGATAAAGCCGTCCCTCGGAGTGAATTCCTAGGACAGACTCCCCCTCTGCTCCCGGCAGCGTCGCGGGCGGGGAGCTCTTTGAGAGGATTGTGGATGACGACTTCGAGCACACGGAGCCCACCAGCATTCAGTACATGAGGCAGATCCTGGAGGGGATCCAGTACGTCCATCGCCAGAGCATCGTCCACCTGGACCTCAAACCCGAGAACATCGTCTGTGTCAACACAAGCAGCCACTGGGTCAAAATCATCGACTTTGGCCTGGCACGGAGACTGGGTGAGCCAGAGGGGCCCGGCTGGGGAGCCCTGTCCTGGGATCTCCCTGTCCCGGAGCGAACGCTGCCTCTGCAGGGGGCGAGGCCCCGATTCAGCAAAGGGCTGCTGCACGTGCTTAACCTGAAGTATGTTCCTGAGTCCGTCCCTCTTCAGCAGAGCTTGTGTTTCACACCTTGCTGAATCCGGGCCAGCAAGTGGGGACTTCCCCATGTGTCTGGAATAGGGGTGGGCAGAAGGGTCCCAGGAAATAACCAGCCTGACCCTTTGCCCAAAACTGCAACCAAACTTTCCACACTGGGCAGTCCCCTCAACGCTCCTGGGGCCTGGCTCTTGGGGGCGCTGAAGTCAGTTGGAGCTGCCAGTGCCCGGCGTCCCGGCAGATTGCCCCCCCAGCTATGGCGAGGGCTCGCCCAATCCGCTGGTCTCTTCAGGATGCATTGAGCCTCGGCTTGCTTCTGTGGCTGTGTCTTTGCAATGCACCTCCCTGGCTCTGGCTGGAAGCTTAAACCCCCAGAAAGGCTGGTGTTGGGGCGTTTGGAGCTACAGGGACTTTCCTGCAATATTTCCTGCCCACTTTTGTAGAGCTAAGACACTGGGCAGGGCAGTGGGCTGGTGCTCAGGGGACCAGGGTCTATTCCCAGCTCTACTGCTGGCATGTCACAGCCCCTCTGTGCTTTGTCTCCCTGTCTGTAACATGAGGGTAGTGACGTGGCCCTTGCAGGGGAGTTGGGGGGCTTTGTTTCTGACTGACTGCAGAGCACTGGAGACCCACAGAAGCAAGGTGCTGTCAACCTGCCAAGTAGATTCCCCATCTTTATTGCAAATTCAGCTCCAGCTCCATTTCAGTTACATGCCACCTGGGATGCAAATATCTGGGTTCTGCCCATGCACCTTGGCACTGGAGAGCACAAAACCAGCTCCCCAGCTCCTGCTGGGCTGAGACAAGGGACAGTCCCTGCTAGTCTGCAGTCCCTTCTTCCCCAGCACACCAGCTCCCTGGGCACGGTCAGTCAATGCACCTGACTTTGGTGTCAGGCTGGCCCTTCAGAGCTGTATGAGCTGGAGTAGACCAGCTCTCTATCCCAGGTGACCCTGGGCGAGTCTCCCTGTGCCGCTGTTTCCCCTTCTGCCCTTTGTGGATTCAGGCTGTCGGCTCTTTGGACAGGGCCTGTCTCCTACTGTGCAGCACCTTGCACAATGGGCTCCAGTATCAGTTCTGGGCTCTCGGTGCTGCTACCCTGCGCGTGGGGGTAATCGCTGCGGCAGCACATTGCAATGGGGGATCCCGGAGACATGGACACGGGAGGCTGTGCTGATCCCTTGCTGTGGCTGGGGGAAGCACGGTCTGCAGGGATGGGGATGCTGGACTGCTCTTATCTTGCCCCTTCAGATCCAAAGAGCCCCGTGAAGGTGATGCACGGCACCCCGGAGTTCATGGCCCCAGAAGTGATCGCCTTTGAGCCAGTGGGATTCACCACGGACATGTGGAGCATCGGTGTGATCTGCTACATCCTGTACGTTGCTGCCCGTTAACAGCCTTTGGGGCAGAGGTCCCGGCTGAGCAAGTAACAGCCTCTTCTCTTGCTCCCCAGGCTGAGTGGGGACTCCCCCTTCCAGGGGAACAATGACATGGAGACGCTGCACAACATCACGGCTGCCCAGTGGGAGTTTGATGAGGAGACCTTCTCGGAGATCTCCCAGGAGGCCAAGGACTTCATCAGCGAGCTACTGCAGAAAGACAGCCGGTAGAGCAGCTGATGTTGCGGGGAGGGAGAAGCGGTACTACCCAGAGTGTTCGGGGAGGGGGGGAGAAAGAGCACTCCAAGGGGGTGGGGTGGAGCGGCACCAGGTGCTGAGCTGTGGCTGCGGACTGTGAGGTTGGCCCTTCCCAACACACATACCTCCTCCTCCAGCCCTGAGTAGGTGGTTGGGAGGGACACCTTCCATGGGGAGACAGGCCTCCCTGGGGGTGGGGATGGGAGCCCAGGTAGTGAGTCAGGGGGTTTGCCAATGCCTGGGAGAATGGGTGACGCTGGATAAAAACATAAGAACGGCTATACTGGGTCCGACCAATGGTCCATCTAGCCCAGTACCCTGTCTTCCGACAGTGGCCCCAGCGGGAATGAACAGAACAGGGAATCATCAAGTAATCCATCCCCTGTCGCCCATTCCCAGCTCCTGGCAAGCAGAGGCTAGGGACACCATCCCTGCCCAGCCTGGCTAATAGCCATTGATGGACCTATCCTCCATGAACTTGTCTAGTTCTTTTTTGAATCCTGTTATAGTCTTGGCCTTCACAACATCTGCTGGCAAAGAATTCCACAGGTTGTGCGAATGTGTGCCTGATAACAGCATTGGCAACCTCGAGACATCAAAGACCATGAGTCAGATCCTTAAAAATCCTGAGACTGGCCCCACCAATCATGACTTACAAAACATAATCAAGCCATGAGTTTTAGTCTGTCTTGACTTTAACTCCCCTCTACTCGTGTGTGTGCACTCAGATGGAGACGTGCTGTATTCTGGAGGGTTCAGATATGCTCAAGGAGAATTAGAATGGAGCTGATGCAAAATGGTTAAGTCTTTGTTTTATTTGGGTTAGTCCTAAGTGACGAGACTTATTTCAATATCATTGTAATGCTGCTGTTAATGGCTACAAATGACAAGCTGGGTAACTGACTAGGAGGATATGAGGGAGAAAAGACCACCTACTAACTCTCTAAGGCAAGAGAGAAATCAAAGGGGAATGTGAACGAGTTTTCTCCTGTTAAAATGAGCGGGATACATTGCAAATGAATGGTGAATCAATCGCTGAAGTCCGGAGTGACTGTTTTGAAAGAGTGATGAATGAGGAGAACTGAAGGAACTAAGAACATGTGAGTCAAACCGGGGCGTGATAGACTGCAAGCAGGAGGAAGAGATTGTAGAGGCACTTGAGAAAATGAGAGCGCACCTGGGCCAGGTGAAATACGGGTGGATGCGCTGAAGTCATGGGGAAGGGAAGGCAGAACATATTTTACAAGTCTGTTCAATTATATTCTTAAGAAAGACAAAATGCCAGATGAATGGCATAAAATCTTTGCGGTTTGCCCAGTTTTAAACATAGAGGAGACATTATACTGTGTGCTAATTATTGCCCAATGAAGCTGATGTCATATGCTATGAAAATATGGGAGAAGAATATTGAAAAGCATCTCTGTGGAAGAGTTGAAATTTGGAAAGGTCAGTGTGGATTTCCACTGGGAAGGAGTACACTGATGCTCTGTATGGTCTATGAATCCTTATGGAGAAGTTCAGAGAAAAGAGATGGTCTTTGTGGACTTGAGGGAAGGTGTACAGTCATGTCCCGAAAGAATTAGTTTGGTTGAGTTAGTGTCAGAGCAGTGTGCTGGAAGGATGTGTTTGTCTTGTCCAGGCTACATGCAATGGCATGACTACCACAGCCAAAACCAAATGGGACTCCTGTAGAGAATTTCTAGAAAATGCTGGCCTGCACCAGGGCTCAGCGCTGAGCCCTGTTTTGTTTGCCATTGTCTTGGATGTGATAAGTGAGACTATATGAAGGGAGCCTTGGAATTTGCTATTTGCTGATGACTTAATGATATGTGCAGAAGATTGGGAGGCCCTGCAAACCAACTTTGAATAGTGGGAACACAGTTTTGAGCAGGCTGGACTTAGAGTGAACTTGGTGAGACTTAGGCTTTGATAACTGAGAGACGCACACTCCCCAGAAAGGATGTTGCAAACACCCGAGAAACTACAAAGTGCTCTCTATCCGTATCACAGTCTCCTAGTATTTTTCAATCAAGGTTTATGTGAGTGGCCCAGAGCTCTCCATGCAAGAATATCTTTACAACCCCAACCACCTCTGAGTTTTCTGTATGTCAGTGCAGTGACTATATTTATAAACCCCCAAATATTAGTTTTTAAAATAATCAGTTCAGTCAGAATCAAAGTATTTCAAAAATAACTTTAAACCCTTCTTCTCTTTGTATACTTTTGGTAACACCTACATTCTGTGATGAGGCAAGGCCTGATGGCTATAGTAAAGTAGTGGGAGATAGATATATTAGCCACAGGCTAAACAAATCCCTGTTACCAGGTTAAGCAAATGGCAGCTGTTCCAGGTCAATTAAGACACTTGGGGCCAATTAAGATCTTTCCAAAAGGCAGGGAGGACAGCTAGGTTGATTGGGAAACCTGAAGCCAATCAGGGGCTGGCTGAAACTAGTTAAAAGCCTCCCAGTTAGTCAGGTGGGTGCACGTGTTGGGAGCTGTAGCAGGAAGTCATGCTGCTGGAGAGACTGAGCAAACACAAACCATATCGGGCACAAGGAAGGAGACCAGGGTGAAGTGGATCTTGAAGAAGTGGGGGCTGCTGTGGGGAAGTGGCCCAGGGAATTATATGCATCCTATTAGGGTCCTGGAGTAGGGGGCGGGCCCAGGCTCCCCCCTTTGCCCCTGATTAATCACTGAGACTGGGAGACCACAGAAACTGTACAAGGGAGGGTAGCTTCTCCTCACCTCCTCATCTCCTTTGCTGGCTTATGATGAAAATGGCTCAGTAAGCGGTGACCCTTGCCTCTAGAGAGAGAAGGGCTATGTGGAGGGTCACAGTGAAATCCGCCAGGAAACGCAGGACCCACGGAGACAAGGACAGAGCTTTGTCACAATACCTATATGCATTATCTAGCAATTGCCATAATTTTTTTAGTTTTTAATAAAATCTCATAATTGTCCCAATAGCTAAATATAATTCACTTCAATTTTTAATTATTCTTTCCTCCCCCCCCATCCCCCAGCATCACCTCTGCTGCTCCTCCTGTTCTTCACCCCCTTTCCAGGACCTGGGGGGCAGCTCCAGGAGCTCCTCACCCTGCTCTCACTGTGAGGACGTGATGCAGCAGGGAGAGGGGAGTGTTGACCTGGGAATGTGCCCTGGGGGTGGGAGTCCTGAGAGCCTGTCACCTGAGCCGGGAGGGGGAGGGGGAGGTAACACCTCTGCCCAGGAATGTGAAGACAGGCTGCAGAAGGGAGCCTGCTGGGGGGGGGGGGGTGTTAGTTTGCAGTTTGGGGCTGGGTGGAGGAACGCAGGGAACCCCAGAGCTGGGGTCTAAGCTCCCTGCTCCCCCAGAAGAACTTGACTGAGGGGTCCTGGGTGTGCCCACAAGCTCTGTTTTGGACTGTGTTCCTGTTGTCCAATAAACCTTCTGTTTTACTGGCTGGCTGAGAGTCTCAGTGAATCCCAGGAAGAGGGGGGCAGGGCCTGGACTCCCCCACGCTCCGTGACACCCACTATCCAGGCAGGTGCTGGGGGCAAGAGAGAGCAGCAGAGGCACCATCCTGTCCCCATTGCTCCCAGTGGTGCGGGGGCTTACTGAGCTGCTGGGCTCTTTGCTCCCCTCCCCACCCTCCTTGTGGGGCAGCGAGTGGAGGGGACAAACTCTGCTGGCTTCTGGTACGGCTGAGCTTTGTGAGAGGCTAGAGTTTCTCCTGGCATCTCCAAATGGGCTCTGCAATGGCCATGTACCGTGGTCACTGCAGAACATCAAGAGTTGGCAACACTGGGATAAATGGAAATCCCAGAAAGCACATAGGGCCCCGTGCCCATGGAGCCTCTGTGGAGGGCAGCATGCCTGTGGGAGCAGGAGCCAAAGAGGCATTGCCGCCCCCTTGCTCTTTGGCCCCCGCAGCTCACACCAAGACCAGAGCATCCTGCTTCCCAGGATTGGAGCCCAGGCAATGGGGCCTGTGAGGGCTGAGCTCTCACTGACTTGACCTCCTGCCAGGCCACAGAGCCTGGAGCCCAATGCGGAGATCACTGCCCATCTCCCTCAATGCTGTCGCCCCCAGTTGCCGGCTGCCCAGCGACCAGGCCCTCACGCACCCCTGGCTGCGGAAGACTGAGCAGAGCGACAGGAAGGTTCTGTCCAAGGAGAGGATGAGGCGATTCCTGGCCCGCCAGAAGTGGCAGGTGCGCTTGGTGCCAGTTTTGATGCCGTCTCTGCTGGCGTTGGGGCTGCACTCTGCCTGCTGGACAGCGTGTGGCCCGCGCTCTGCGGGGGGCCGTGCAATGGCCTGGTTGGGAAAGGGGCTTCAGGAGAGAGCTCCCCTCTGCCGTGGAGCCGGGGATGCCCATGCTGCTGTCCCCTGGGGGCAGAGAGGTCTCCTGCCCTTCGGCACTGGCCAGCCTGTGCTCGGGACCTGAGGGGGTAGGGGAGTGGTCGCTCGTTCCCAGCCAGCTGGGATTTTTCCTCTAGGAACCTTCACTGCTTCTTTCCTCTCTAGAAAACAGGCAACGCCGTGCTGGCCCTGCGGAGAATGTCCCGGCTGGCCCACAAGCTGGATGACCCGGTGACCACCCCCAGTGCCCAGGAGAAGGGAGGTAATGGCCCAGCCTGTCAGAATGTGTTAATCACACCCCCCCCCCACACACACACACACCCAACTGGCATAGGCTCCTTGTCTGCACCCCGGGGCCCTTTGACTCAGTTAGCCCTGCCCTCCCTGTGACATCTACCAGCTCACCCAACCACGGCTCCCACCTCCACGCGACCAGCAGCCTCGCCTGCCCACCCACCATCTCCTCCAGCCCCCAGGCTGTCCCCCCGCACCCACCATGCCAGCCTCTGCCTCAGAGCCCACCTGCTGCGATCCCCCGATTTCCCCACCCAGCTGACTCCCGCTCCACTCCTGGCTTCGTTGTTCCCACATTCACCCTTGTGAAATGGCAGCTTGGTGCTGAGAAACAGAAGAGGCTTAGTTCCCCCATGGTTCTCTGGCCACAGGCAGGCCGACCAGTCTGGGTTTAATTTAATTGTGGGAAAGCTCTGGATGATGTGTCCTCCCAACGCCTGCTGTGTTAACAATCCCGTTGTGTCTGGGGAACATCACCATCCTGGTGGAGCCTCATCATGGAGAGAGGTCGTCTCTGGAGCAGTCCAAGCCCATCTACTGCAGGCTTGGAGGATCAGGCTGTTGACAATGAGTCCTGGAGTGATGGGCTTTGTTAAACATATGCCACTTAACTGGTGAGCTGGTGTCTGCAGAACCAGCTGGAGGTCTTGCATGGCTGCATTTCCTCCTGGTACATAGAGAACCACAGTAATCCAACCTCAGTGCATGGACCAGTGGGGCCAAGCCCACATCCCTCAGTCTGTTGCTAGCTAGAGCTGGGAGAAGGCATTTTAGCAGCATTTGGGCTATCTGTCACTCGTTAGATATCTAGTTTGTTGAGCAGCATGGAAGAACTCTAGGACGGAGGTCCATCTTGGCAAGCTAAGGCAGATGCCCTCAAGGGAAGGAGATGTTGTGGGGCTGGCTAGTTGTTCAAAATGATTTTTCCTTGACCCATTGACTTGACTGCCATCTTGCCTGAGTTTTCATGGATTCATAGGTTTTTTTGTTTTAAGACCAGAAGGGACCCCTGTGATCATCTAGTCAGCCCCCCTGCATGACACAGCATAGGACTTCCTTGAATTGATTCCTGCTTAGAGTCCACTAGTTGCCATTGCAGATCCTTCAGAAAAGGTATCGAATCTTAATTAAAAACTTGCAGTGATGGAGAATCCATCACAGCCCTCGGTACGGTTGTTTCAGGGGTTAATTACCTTCACTGTTAGCAATGCGTGCCTTATTTCTGCTGTGCGTGTGTCCAGCTTCATCTTCCAGCCATTGGATCTTGTTAGCACTTTGTCTGCTAGGTTGAAGAGCCCTCTCCGATTAGAAATCTCCTCCTCAGGTAGGTACCTGCATGCTGTCATCAAGTCACCCCTTAATCTTCTCTTTGATAAGGTAAATAAGAACTTAAGAACGGCCACACTGGGTCAGACCCGTGGTCCATCTAGCCCGGTATCTGGTCTCTGATAGTGATCAGTGCCAGATGCTTTAGAGGGAATGAACAGAATAGGGAAATTCACTGAGTGATCCATCCCCTGTCCTGCAGTCCCAGCATCTGGCAGTCAGAGGCCTAGGGACACCCGGAGCATGGGGTTGCATCCCTGACTGTCTTGGCTAATAGCCATTGATGGACCTGTCCTCCATGAACTTATCTTGTTCTTTTTTGAACCCAGTTATACTTTTAGCCTTCACAAAATCCCCTGCCAACGAGTTCCCCAGGTTGACTGACTGTCCATTGTGTGAAGAAATATTTCCTTATGTTTGTTTTTAAACCTGCTGCCTGTTAACTTCATTGGTGACCCCTGGTTCTTGTGTTCTGTGAAGGGGTAAATAACACTTCCCCATTAATTTCTCCACAACAGTCATGATTTTATAGACCTCTATTATATTCCGCCCCGCTTAGTCGTCTCTTTTCCAAGCTGAAAAATCCTAGTCTTATTAATCTCTCCTCATATGGAAGCTATTTATGGCCCCTAATCATTTTGGTGGCCCTCTCTGTTTTTTACCAATTCTAATATCTCTTTTGAGATGGGAGGACCATGAATGTATATTGTGGCATTATGATATTTTCTGTCTTCTCAGCTGTCCCTTTCCTAATGGTTCTTAACATCCTGTTCGCTTTTTCGACTGCCGCTGCACATTGAGCAGATGTTTTCAGAGAGCTCTCCATAAAGACTCCAAGATCAATTTGAGTGGTAACAGCTAATTTAGCCCCCATCATTTTATATGTAGAGTTGGGATTATGTTTTCCAATGTGCATTACTTTGCATTTATCAACATTAAATTTCATCTCCCATTTTCTTGCCAGTCACCCAGTTTTGTGAGATCCTTTTGTAACGCTTCGCAATCTGCTTTGGACTTAACTTTTTTGAGCAGTTTAGGATCATCTGCAAATGTTGCCACCTCACCCCCTTTTCCAGATCATTTATGACTAGGTTGAACAGCACTGGTCCCAGTACAGATCCCTAAGGGACCTAAGATCCCTCTAAGCCGCGTGGCCATGCGGCCACACAACAGGCTATCAAGGGCCACACAGGTGCGCAGCCACAGGGCCTGGGCTGGAAACACACCTTTCCCCCAGCCCCGGGCTGCTGCAGCAAGAGAGAGCTGGGGGGCAGTCCTCTCTCCCCGCTGCAGCCCCAGGGCAGCCTGCACCCCAAACCCCTCATCCCTGGCCCCAGCGCAGAGCCCTCACTCCCAGCCAGAGCCCTCTGCCCCAGCCCTGAGCCCCCTCTCACACTCCAAACCCCTTGGCCCCACCCCCGCCACACATCACCTCCATATTGGTGCACATAACAAAATTCATTCCGCACAAGGATGTAAAAAATTAGAGGGAACACTGCGGGGGACCCCGCTATTTATCTGTCTCCACTATGAAATTTATTCCTGCCCTTTGTTTTCTATCTTTTAACCATTACTGATCCATGAGAAGATCTTCCTTCTTATCCCATGACTGCTTAAGTCTTCGGTGAGAGACTTTGTCAAAGGCTTTCTGAAAGTCCAAGTATACTATATCCACTGGATCACCCTGGTCCACGTGCTTGTTGACCCCCTCAAAGAATTCATAGATTCATAGATATTAAGGTCGAAGGGACCATTATGATCATCTAGTCCGACCTCCTGCACAACGCAGGCCACAGAATCTCACCCCACCCACTCCTGCGAAAAACCTCTCACCTATGTCTGAGCTACTGAAGTCCTCAAATCATGTTTAAAGACTTCAAGGAGCAGAGAATCCTCCAGCAAGTGACCGTGCCCCATGCTACAGAGGAAGGCGAAAAACCTCCAGGGCCTCTTCCAATCTGCTCTGGAGGAAAATTCCTTGCCGACCCCAAATATAGTGATCAGCTAAACCCTGAGCATATGGACAAGATTCACCAGCTAGATACCTAGAGAAGAATTTTCTGTAGTAACTCAGATCCCGCCCCATCACATACTGGTTCTGACCAGGTTCAAGAGGCACCGTAGGGAAAGAATGGGGTTTTGGTAACAAGGGGCAGCCTGAACTGACTCAGGGTCCCTCATTTGATCCTTGAACTCAGATGAGACTATAACCAGGAGGTCAAAACACTGTTGGAAGAGTCTGAAGGACTGGAAACCTACCAGTGTCTCCACGTGGTAGGCTTCTAAGAGACTGGTGAGGCATGATTGCCTCTTCCCCAACATATCGTGTTCATCACCTGTCTGATAATTCTGTTCTTTAGTATAGTTTCAGCCAATTTTCCTGGTACTGAAGTCAGGCTTACCATCCTGTAACTACCAGGATCACCTCTGGAGCCTTTGTTAAAAATTGGCATCACATTAGCTATCCTCTAGTCATCTGGTACAGAGGCTGAGTTAAGCAATAGGACACATACAACAGTTACTAGTGCTGCAGTTTCACATCTGAGTTCCTTCAGAACCCTTGGGTGACACCATCTGGGCCTGGTGACTTATTACTGTCTAATTTATCCGTTTGTTCCAAAATTTCCTCTGTTTACACCTCAGTCTGAGACAGTTCCTTAGATTTTTCACCTAAAAAGAATGGTTTGGGTGTGCGAATCTCCCTCATGTCCTAGATGGGGCTCCTCCAGCCTCTCACTGTAAGGCAGGTGTTCTAATCCTTTATTCATTTTCATGGTTCTTCTCTGAACCCGCTCCAATTTACCAACATCCTTCTGGAACTGGGGACACCAGAGCTGGACACACCTGTGGCATCACACCAGTGCCAAATACAAAGGTAATATAACCTTGTTCATGTTTCCCAGGATGGCATTTGCCCTTTTGGCCATAGCGTCGCACTAGGAGCCCATGTTCAGCTGATTATTCACTATGACCTCTGAGTCTTTTCAGAGTCCCTCCTTCCCAGGATACAGTCCCCTGTCCTGTAAGTGTGGCCTGTGTTCATCTAGCTATATGAAATGCATGTTGTTGATCTCGCTCTCAGTGACCTGTCCTCTTCCTTATTTACCATTCCTCCAATCTTTGTGTGACTTGCAAACTTTATCGGTGAGGATTTTATCTTCTAGGACATTGATACAAATATTAAATAGTGTATGGCCAAGAACTAATCCCTGTGGGACCCCAGGAGAAATATACCCGCTTGGTGACTATGCCCTGTTCAATTGCATTTAGTACAACCGCTGCTGGAAGATGTTAGGGTTAGATGTTTGACTAATTGGTCAGATAGTCTCAAGAATGGTAAAATATTTTAAAGCGCTAATTATTAGAACAGAAACAAAATAAAGTAAGAATTTGTGGCCTCCAATCGGTGAGACTTAGGGCTGGTCTCCACTGCTGCTTAAGTCGATGTAACTTACGTCACTCAGGGGTGTGAAAACGACACCCCCCTGAGCAACGTAAGTTACATAGACTTAAAGCAGTGTCCACATGTTGGCGGGAGACGCTCTCCTGCCCACATAGCGTCCACCTCTCCTGGAGGTGGAGTAGCCGACGGGAGAGCGCGTCTTCACCAGGTGCACGACAGTGGCGCAGGTATGCCAGGGTAGTGCAGTCATGCAGACTTGCCCTCAGATACTTGGACCTAATTACAAAAACCAAGATTTTTAACTCTGAAAAATGTGAAACAATGAAATGAAGCTTTAAAAAGGAAAATAATTACCAGCTGTAGTTACAAAAGAGGAATGAAATTAAACAGAAATAAAACACCCAGAGCAACTAGAATCATAGAATATCAGGGTTGGAAGGGACCTCAGGAGGTCATCTAGTCCAACCCCCTGCTATAACAGACTCTTCAAGCTACTTAATGGCTGTGCATCTGTTCTCTTTATGTTGGGGGAGGAGGGTTAGTGACTGTGACCCCTCTTCTCCCTCCCCCACTCCCTTGGGAGTTGAGTTCTACGTGTTTGTCTAGTCAGGGTAGACTGTAGACTCTTCGAGGCAGGGACCATGTCTTTTTCCATATTTAATGTGCTTTGTAAACCACCATGTACACTGATGGCCTGGTATACAAATAAAGATAGACCTAGGGTGTCTGCTCTAGAAGATTCCAGCCAGTCAAGATGCTCAACTTTCAATTAGTTCGGCTTTTTCCCAAAAAGGGGCAATAGCATGTATTGAAGTGTGTGGTCAAGACATTTTAAGTAGACTTGCCAACAGAGAGCACCATGATGCAATGAAAAAAGATAGGCCATTACCACATCAGGGCATTCTTGCTGTAATATTTGGCCATGGTCAAATAATAGGCAGTCAATTTACATTATTTGACTGATCAATTGACTGGCTTGTCGAGCTGATACGGTGTCCAGTTCTGGTGTCAACAATTCAAGAAGGATATTGATAAAACATGCCTTGTAGTGATAGACTTAAGGAGCTCAACCTGTTTTAACAAAGAGAAGGTTACGGGGTGACTTGATCGCAGCCTATAAGTACCTGCATGGGGAACAAATATTTGGTAACGGGCTCTTCAGTCGAGCAGACAAAGCTATGACAAGAGCCAATGGCTGGAAGTTGAAACTGGCCAAATTCAGGCTGGAAATAAGATGTACATTATTAACAGTGAGGGTAATTAACCATTGGAACAACTTGCCCAGGGTCGTGGCGGATTCTCCATCGCTGGAGATTTTTAAACAAGACTGGATGTTTTGTTGATTTGCTCTAATTCAAACGGGGATTAATTCAGCTAGTCTGATCTCCTGTATAACACAGGCCACCATAAGATTGCGCTGATCACCGTGGTCCCTTCTGCCCGTTAGACCTATCAGTTTGTCAGTCCGTGAACTCTTTGATCCGTGTGGGCCATGTTCATTTTGGATCGTTCTAGTTTTATAATCAATAGACTCAGATTTTTGCAGCCATCTGCTCTGCATATGAATCTTCGCCTATTAACATGTCGCTTCCCCCCACCACCATCCCCGGTCCCCAGAGCTGGGCCACAGCCAGGAAGAGGATCAGATCTTCACCTTCCTGCCACAGCAGATGGAGCAGGGGCCCAGCTTCTTGGAGCCGCTGAAGGACCAAGTAGCAACGGAAGGCAGCAGTACCTGCCTCCAGTGTCACGTTGAAGGTAACTTCCTATGAAAGCCTGCAAGGCTGTTCCCACCCCCTCAATGACTGAAGTCCTTGGAATGACCTTGGAGCATGTCCCCTGGCAGGGTGCTCACCCTCAGGGACAGGCTCTGCAGGGCCTAAATCACTCTTGTGCAACAGGGGGAGCCTTGTGCACGAATGGGGGCTGCACAGCTGTGTGCTTTGAACTCTCACAAGCTAAGCAGCATCGCTGCTTGGATGAGACTTTCTTGGGATACCTTGGTACTCTAGGAAAGGGGGCGTTGATACGCTAGGTGGTTATCTTGTACTGGACTAACACCTGGCATGGTGTTAGGCGCCATGCTGCTAAATGTGTGTGTCCCCGGTAGAGGACACAGCAGTGCAGCACTGGTTGCAGGGTGATTAAGGACCTGAGAGGCTGTGATGTGACACCCAACTTGGGAGACCCAGTAGGGTCAAATAAATGTCCCAAAATTCTGGGTAGCCTGGTGGACCTTTGACCCATCACTGTGGCCTTCTTCCCTGGCAGGTTTTCCCCACCCGGAGGTGACGTGGCTCTGGAACAATGCCCCTATCCAGGAATCTCCCCGGCTCCGCATAGAGGAGGAGGAGAATGGAAGCTGCTCCTTTGCCATTGCGAGGCTCTCGGTGGAGGACACGGGGCACTATGTGTGCAGGGCCCCCAGTGCCCTAGGGGAGACAGAATGCAGTGCCAGGCTGACTGTACAGAGAGGCAGCAACACGCAGACGCCAAATGCAGAGGAGGGCCCTGGAACTGACCAGCTGTGAGTGCAGCAGGCTATGGGCTCTCTGCCCGGCATTGGCGGCATGGCTTACAGGAGGTGCTCTGCTTCCAGTCTGGCTCTTTCCCTCATCCCTTGTTCCTTTTAACTGCATTGCTGGGCTCTGGGAGTGAATCTTGCTGCGCTCTGCTTCCCACTGGGCCAGGACATGGTAGGCAGCCACAGAGTGGACAAGAAGGGCCCGATCCTGCAGTCCCCAAACAGGCAAATCCCAAGTCAATCCATTTCAGTGTGCAGGGAGTCTGGCCTGTGAGGATGGCAGGATTGAGCCTGAAGTGCCTAGACCAGCCTCTCTGCTTCCACTTCCTCTCTGCCAGGCTGGGAACTCCCAGCTGCAGCGTGGACACCCCCAGGGCTGAGCTGCCTCTGGAGGACACCCCGTCCCCGCCCTCAGCCCCTCACGGTGCCCTGGGGAGCAGGAGCGGGGGAGGCAGCGGGTGGGGGGCTGGTGCTGCCTGCCTAAGGAGGGCTCTGCCTCCTTTGCAGTCTGAGTCCCAGGGTGGGCTCCAGGCCCCTGCCGCCCACACCCGGAGCCCAGGACCCCCACAGCTCCAGCAGGCGGTGGTGGGGGGGGCTGTGGGATCATTGTCCCCTCTCACAGCGCGCAGCTCTGGCTGGGGGTCTTAGCAGTAGGCATCCCCCTCCCTCAGCCTCCTGTGCTGAGAGGCAGATGGTGCCCTTAGGGAATGTTTGCCCCCCCCACTGCTCTCTTACTGCCATCTCTGGGGGGGAGGGGGTGTTTCCCCCTCTCGCTGTCTGTCCTACAAGGGTGTCCTTCCCTTTGAAGAGTAGAGCACCCCCTCCTGGCCCTTTCTCAGCCTCCTCACACCCTTTGGGGTGGGCCTCAGGGGATGCGTCTTCCCCCAGTTCTGTCTCGGAGTGGGGGGGAAGGGGCAAACATTCTCTCCCTGGCTGGATCTCTCAGGCTGAGCTGCTGATTAAAAGACAGTGTGTTCCCCCCTCCCCTCCCCCCCCCCCGTATCCCCCCCATCACAGTGACGGGCCAGATCCTCGGCCAGCTCTGTGGAAATCAGGGCCCGTTGGTTCCATGCCCCTTTGCCTCATTTCCCCTTCAGCTCTGAGTCAGTCCCCTGCCCTCTGCCCCTCTCTGATGCTTGTCTCAGGAGGCAACAGCCTGGGTCAGTGCTCAGTGCAGAAAACGCGACCGCTACCCTGCTGCAGCTAAGGCGGGGACACGCTCCGTGTGTCACATGCTTGTAGGAGCTGGCAGTGCTGCTGGAATCAGCAATTATTGGCCCCATCAGATGACAAACCCGCGTCACCCTGGCCCACATCGTGTGACTACAGCCAACACGTCAAGTCCAGCTTGTTCCAGCACCCCGCCTCTCTCACCATTCATAGCGGGGGGGAAGGGGAGTGCTCGCCTGCTGCCCAGGAAATCATAACCAGCCAGCAAGGCCTGCCCCAGCAATAAAGACAGAAACAGAGCAAGAACAATACGTCTGGGCCAGGGCTCCTTTCAAACAGCCCTTGCAACCAGCAGCCTGCCTGTGTCTGAAGCAGGGAGCTACAGGCTGTTCTATGGGATTCATGAACCACACACGCCTTGCCACTGACCCGCACTGCAGCCCCCCCCTGGATTTCCAGTTCAGTTTAATGAAGAGAAGATTTGGGGGTAACTTGATCCCAGTCTATAAGTACCTGCGTGGGGAACAGATATTTAATAATGGGCTCTTTAGTCTAGGAGAAAAAGTGTAACACGATCCAGTGGCTAGAAGCTGAAGCTTGAGAAATTCAAACGGGAAATAAGATGTAAATATTTAACAGAGTCATAGACCACTGGAGCAGTTTTCCAAGCATTGTGGTGGATTTGCCATCCCTGACAATTTTTAAAATCCAGCCTGGATGTTTTTTCTAGCAGATCTGCTCCGGGGTTATTTCGGGGCAGGGCTCCAGCCTCTGTTATACAGGGGGTCAGACTGGATGGTCACAGTGGTTCCTTCTGGCCTTGGGATCTATTAACTTTACACCCCAAGGGCTCCATGGGCTGTTCATATGGCCCATTAGTTTTGGTTTTTCTCAGGAATGTCTGTGTTTATTACCATTAAAAAAAAAGGGTGAAAATTGATGCAAAAATTAGCGCCACAGTTTGCTGGCTACATTTCAGGGTTGACCTTGGGGGATGGGAGAACAGAAAAAACAGAGTAACAAATCGAAAAAAGTACAAGAGCTTCTGCCCCGGCTCCCTGCCCCAGCTAGAGAGGTGGCAGCTGTGACCCAGGCTCCTTAGCAGACGCTCCCCTGGTCTTTGCAAACAACTCACTCATCTCCAATTTGCCATGCTCACTACAACACATACAGCTTGCAGGGTATTTATCCGTCTCAACAGAAGATGGGCGGGATCAGCAAGGAAAGCTACCCCTTGGCTGTCAGAAAGCGCAGGGAAAAATGAGAAAGGCCAAAAGCCAAGAAGAGCTGGGCCTTGCAAAGGGAATTAAAGCCAACAGTAAAATGTTCTTTTGCCATGTAAATAAAAAGAACTCAAGGAAAGAAAACGTGGGGCTGCTAAACAGTGAGATTAAAGATAATCTAGTCCTGGCCCAACACCTCAACACATACTTTGCCTCTGTTTTTAATAAGGGTAATGAGGAGCTGAGGATTAGCGGCAGGGTTGGTAATGGAAACGAGGACATGGCAGTAGAAATTACCACATGGGAGGTGGAAGTCAAACTCAAACAGCTTAATGGGACTAAATTTGGGTGACCCAGATAATCTCCACCCAAAAATATTAACTAACAGACCTGGCACATAGAATTGCAAGCCCAATAGCAAGGAGGGATAGCTCAGTGGTTTGACCATTGGCTTACTAAACCCAGGGTTGTAAGTTCAATTCTTGAGGGGGCCATTTAGGGATCTGGGGCAAAAATTGGGGATTGGTTCTGCTTTGAGCAGGGGGTTGGACTAGATACCTCCTGAGGGCCCTTCCAACTCTGAGATTGTATGATTTTTAATGAATCGGTAAACTTGGGGGTTGTACCCTATGACTGGAGAATTGCTAATATAGTTCCTATTTTTAAGAAAGGGAAAGGAAAAAAGTGATCCAGGAGATTACAGGCTTGTTAGTTTGACCTGAATTGTATGCAAGGTCTTGGAACAAATTTTGAAAGAGAAAATTGTTAAGGCCATAGAGGTAAACGGTAATTGGGATAAAATAAAAGAGGGTTTTACAAAAGGTAGATCTTGATAGACCAACCGGCTCTCCTTCTTTGAGACAATAATCGATTTTTTAGACAAAGGAAACGCAGTAGAACTAATCTACCTTCATTTCAGGAAGGCGTTTGATACAGTTCCACATGGGAAATTAATTAAATTGGAGACGGTGGGGATTAATATGAGAACTGAAAGGTGGATGAGGAACTGATTAAAGGGGAGACTACAGTGGGTCCTACTGAAAGGTGAACAGTCAGGCTGGAGGGAGGTTACTAGTGGAGTTACTCAGGAATCAGTCTTGGGACCAACCTTATTTAACATTTTTATTAATGACCTTGGCACAAAAAGTGTGAGTGCATTTTGTTTTGTATCATAACCATTTGTTTCCACCACACCTCCTTGTTTCTAGTTAACTCTCCATTCTTTCTTAAATAAATACACCACCTTTCGTTTTCTTAGACGTGCTGTGTGTGACGTAGGAGTGGTGGGGGGTGGGGGGGGGAGTTTAAGGTAAAGCTGGTCAACTGGGCCCACTGCTCCTTTGGGAGCTGAGGAGCTGGGATTTCTGAGAGTAGCCAGTGTCAGGGATATTACAGGGCAACGATTCAAAGGGACTGGTGTGCGTTTCTTCATGACAGGGCTGGCCTAGCCCAGAGGAGGGGGCTTGGATGGCTGATGGGCTGGTGGTGTTAGGGTGCTAACACCCAGGCAAGGCTCCCTCCCACTGGAGGAGCAAGCGGCTCAGTAACCTGGAGGGCCCAGCTCATTGAGCCACCGTCTCTCTTCCTGGAGTGGGCTCAGAAGTGGAAGAGATGGAGAAAGCGAGGGCGCCATCTCCTCATGCTGCCTCCTCTGGGCCGACTCCGGAAGGAGACCTGGCAGCTCAGTTTCCTGGGGGCTGCCACCTCTCCTTCCAGAGCGAGGAGCTGGGTCTTGGGGGAGGGTCCACCTGTGGTCTGCTCAGGTTCCTGAGCCACCATCTCCCCTTTCCAGGGAGATCCCCTGGCGTCCAGACCCAGCTCCCACCTCTGGAATGAGAGATGGCAGCTTGGTAACCAGATCTGCCTGGGTTCCTGAGCCACCAGCTCTCCTTCTGGAGCAGGGAGCCGGGTCTGGGGAGCTCCACACACCTTATTTGAGACCTTGACTATTGATGTACACATACATGCATGTCTTCCACTACCCGGCCTTACTTTAGCGGACCACTTCACAGTTACACAGAGCAGTGTTTTCCCCAGGAACTGAAATTAGGGGAGGTGTTGGAATATTCAGGGGGGGGTGAGGGCCAATGACGGATGAGACCGCGAGGATGAAGGTGGGATGTATGGCACCATAGTAAAAACTGAAAAATGTTTCACAATCATTTTATTAGATTTAACTCATGTTTTAAAATCATCACAAAAATTAAAGTTGGCTACTCAAGCCTAGTACGAAGCACGACAACTACATCCTTCTTGGTTTCTTATAATTTTGCACAACTCTTTGGTGTCTTCTTGTGTGTCTGTCACTTCCAGTCCTTCATGATATGCTCATGATCAGACAGAAGGTGACTTCTTTCAGCACACAAAATCCTATTCAATGAGGAAGAAGAATGCTCAAATGTAGCTGTTGTGACTGGGAGTAGCAAGAGAGGTATACCTACTTCTTTCATCCCAGGAAACATAGCACAAAAATTGTGTCGAACCACGAGCGATGATAAAGAAGCTGAAGTTAAATCTTCATTCGTTCATCATCTGATATTCCACTCTGTATTCAAAATTCTCTATTCTGTCCTGAGCACATGGCAGCCCCATTGCTGGGAGTGAGTGCCTCACTCCACTCAACTGTCAGTGTTTTATAAGACAGGCATCTGTACAAGCTACATGGAGGCTGAGTAGAATCCAGAAATCGCTGTTGTAGATTTGTAAGAATCAAGTCTGTGTACTTTTTCAGCTGGCTTAACAACCACTTCTTACCCTCTTCACTTAAGGACCTTCATTAGTCAACTTCTAGACTGAAGTCTTTGCTTCTTCCAGTCCATTTTCAATGGATCTCTCTGATTGATTCAAATGCAGCTTCTATTGCTGGACAAAGATCTACCACTGTTGTAACAGATGCCTGGATGACATTGTTTAATGACCCAAGTGGTTTCAACAGTAGACTTACAAGAGAGAGAAGGGCGATAGTCTTCTCTGAACTTAGTAACAAACGTAATCCACCAGGCTCACTACTTAGATCCGTCCCATCTTGGTGGATACTTTCCAAAGCCAGTAATAACGGTTGCAGTAATTTTAAGACAACAGCCAAGAATCGCTCATGAGAAAGGTAGCAGGTTTTCCCAGGTTGGACTAATTTGAACTTCAATACCAGTGTATCTTCTATTTGTTTCCAAGTCGTTCAGTCCTTTTGGACTCTTGCTGAAAAAAAAAAAGAGTATAAAAAGCCATTCAATGTGTGGCTTTTTAAATGTCTTTTGAAGATTCTGCAGCTTGTACTGGTGCTAGCTGGAGTAGATGGCTTCTGCAGTGTGTATAGGAGAGATTAGGGTTACACTGTTCTCTGAGCAAAGCTTGTACTCCACTATGTCTTCCAGAGAAGTTTATAGCTCCATCAAATGCACAAGCAGCCATCTGTTTGGGGTCCATTTGACAAGCATTTAACTCTTCTAAGATGTCACAGATGCAGCTGATGTGTCTTCTATAACCTGAACATCTAGAATGCATCTACTGGCCTACCACAGACATCAAGATAGCATACGCA